CATTTTACCCAGGGCAACAGAGTGAGACTCCGTCTCCAAAAAAAAAAAAAAAAAAAAGATACTATCTAGAATTGTGGCTGTGTCAAAATGAGACTGTTACAATGTCTTTTCTTCCCCAATATTCCCCTGCTTATATGAGATCTTTAGAATTTAATAATTTCTACATCTTCCCCTTCCCCAATTTGTAGGTTTTGAGAAAGGAGTTAGTTTGTGCTAGAGACTAATACTAAAGTTTTCTTTTTTTCTGAAACAGAGTCTCATTCTATTGCCCCAGGCTACAGCGCTGTATGGTGTCAGCCTAGATCATAGCAACCTCAAACTCTTGGGCTCCAGTGATCCTCTTGCCTCAACCTCCGAAGTAGGACTATAGGAGGCCACCACAAAGACCTATTAACTTTTCTGTTTTTAGGAGAGATGAAGTCTTACTCTTGCTCAGGCTTGTCTCAAACTCCTGAGCTCAACTCCCACTTCTGTTTCCCAGAGTACGAGGATTACAGGCATGAGCCAATGGTGTAATTCTTTTTTTTTTTTTTTTTTAAGAGGCATGGTCTCACTCTGTAACCTAGCCTCAAAGGCATGATCATAGCTCACTGCAGCCTTGAACTCCTGGGCTCAAGGGATCCTCCTGCCTCAGGCTTCCGAGTAGCTGGGACTAGAGGCATGAGCCATTGCTCCTGGCCCTAAAGTTTTCTCATATGTGATCTCTTCTATATTGAGAATTCTTTTTTTTTTGTAAATTGAGACAGAGTCCTATTACGTTGCCCTTGGTAGAGTGCAGTGGCGTCACAGCTCACAGCAGCCTCAAACTCTTGGGCTTAAGTGATTCGCTTGCCTCCGCCTCCCAAGTAGCTGGGACTACAGGCGCCCACCACAATGCCTGGCTATTTTTTTTGGTTGCAGCCATCAATGTTGTTTGGCAGGCCCAGGCTGGATTCAAACCCTCCACCTTAGGTGTATGTGGCTGGTGCCTTAGCCACTTGAGCCAAAGGCACAGCCAAACCAAGAAAATTCTAATTCTGTATTTCATATTTCCAGTTAGTCTATCATAATCCATTTATATTTAAGCATATATTATATATTGCAAGGTTATATGCTTGCCATTATTTCCTTTCATTGCTGAAAACCTTTCATCTTGAAAATCTGTTTGTTCCTTTAGATTTTCTGTTTGGTAAAGAGCCCTGTGTAGATTCTTCTCAAGTGTGGATTTATCCACATCTCCTCTCTTCATCTTGTCAATAAATGTTATCTTAGCCATGTCCCTTCCTATCAATGTACAGATGTTACTCCTCTGCTTTCTCTGTTCTGGCATTAAAGATAAAGGAGCCTGTGATCGTTCTCCTTCGTATATTCTGCCCGAAGGCTTGGAAGATTGTCTTTTTATCCTTGAAATTCTGAGATTCTCCTAAATGTCTTTTTCCCCTCCAACCATAAACTCAGCTTCCAATCTGGTAAACCTTTCAGTCTATACACATATAAAAAGCTTTCTGAATTGTTTCCTGTATTGTTTAATTACTGGTTCTCTTCTGGTTTTTTTCAAGGCCTCTTTATGGGACTTCTGGTATTTACATGCGAAGTTTCTTGGATGTGTCCTCTAAATCTCTCTTCTTTTATTTCATAGTGTTTTGGTTCTTTTGAGGTACTCCTTGCACTTGAACTGCCATTCAGGTGTTAATAATAAATATCCAATCTTTCAATTCTACTACTACGTGTATATTTTTAAAATTCAAAGCACAATCTGTTTTTAGTTCCAGAAAGCATTCTTTATGCTATAATTTAATCTCTTACATAGCTGTTTTTATCTTTTTTTTTTCCCCTGAGACAGAGTCTCCTTATGTCGCCCTTGGTAGAGTGCTGTTGCGTCACAGCTCACAGCAACCTCCAACTCCTGGGCTCAAGTGAGTCTCCTGCCTCAGCCTCCCAAGTAGCTGGGACTACAGGCACCCATCACAACACCCAGCTATTTTTTGTTGCAATTATCATTCCTGTTTTGCTGGCCCAGGCCTGGTTCAAACTGTCAACTTCAGTGTGTGAGGCTGGTGCCTTAACCACTGTGCTACGGGCGCCAAGACACATAGCTGTTTTTAATGCAAAGTATTCTCTGTCCTTTCTTTAGGCATTTTATTTCAGTGAAAGGGGCTATTCTGGGTGTTTTGTTTTATTCCTTCTGTGTCTGGCTATTCAGCCTCCTTAGGTGTTCTGCATTTTCCTGTCTCATGGCACACTGTTCAGATGCTCTGACGCCTGCCTTGTTACCAACAGTTAAGTTACCACACCAGATGCCAGTTGTCCAGTCCATTTGGAGCCTAATGAAGAATTCTCCTAGCTCTGCTCACTATCTATACATTAAGAGCAGCAGATACTTAACTCACCTATTGAGCCAAGCTACTAAGTCCTCAGATCTCCCTGGTCCAAGCTCTCTCCAGGAACTTCAGAGTATTCATTCTCTCCCCAGTGCTCTCTACCAGCCCCCGCCTGTCCTCTGGCACAGCGGGGAACAAAACCTCTTCACAAGCTTCTCACTTCTCTTACAGAATGAAAGTCTGGCTCCTTCCTTCCTAGTCCTACCTGCTCCCTACCCTCTCGGGGGCTCCACTGGGGGGGCGGGGTGGTGGGAGTTGCAAAGGGAGGACAGTAAGCACATGAGTTCCAAAAATCATCTTCCCAGAAACTCCCACTGCCCTCAGATTAACTAAAAGATTCCAACTTTCCATTAATATAAGTGTTACCATAAAACGTAATGAAGAACAATTAAAGAAACTTTCAAGGCTTGGCGCCTATAGCTCAACCGGCTAAGGCGCCAGCCACCTACACCTAAGGTGGCGGGTTCGAATCCCCAGCCCGGGCCCGCCAAACAACAATGACGGCT